CCAGATAATAACAATATTATTAGAGCCGGGAACCGATATATTATAGACCCATAAAAAAACCCCACCATGTCGGTTGCCTTTGCTTCTGCTCGCCCAAGAGGCAAAGGGGAGGTCACCCAGCAAACTATCCAGAAGGTAAAAAAGCATGCTTTTATACAGACAATTTTAGACATTTATTCCGTCCACGCTCCTGTAGCTGAGGAAGGAGGCTTATTTCTAGGGCGATGAGGAAAACTAGTGAATTTGCGAGGGCTGCGGAGATGGACAGCTGGAGAGAGAGGTGGGGGACGGAGGAGGAGGAGGAGGAGGTGGAACAAAGCAAAGGTGTTCAGATCACGGCAAAGAGAGAGCGAGAGGAGGACTTGGGGAATAAAATTCGGATGGCACGTTATCTCCGCTGCTCGCAAAGGGGAAAAAACCTGCCAATAATACATTGGGAAAGGGCAATAAAATTTGCAAATATGTGATTAATTTATGATGGTGTGTCAGCTTCTGTCCCCCCCCCCCAATCCAACCTAAAAAATGAATGAAAATAAAATACTGAATTTGCGAGGGTTTTCTTTTGTATTTGGATGCAGAATTTTAATCTCTCAGAAGACAGAGGGAGCACCGATCACTGGTATTTTATATACTATTATTATTTGTGATGTGTTTATTGATGTTCAATGACAAACAAAGGTTTTGAAAGATTTTCTCTGGAGAGATCTCTGGAGGCCAGAGCCGAGGGTTCCTAGTTGGGAAGTTATTGTTTCCTATTCCGCAGGATTGACGGCAGGGACCGTACACACATGCCCGACACCCCTTCCTCCTGCAGAAGGTCACGGTCAGTAGTGAAGAGGCTGGAGATGTCAATAAAGAACATGCATGTTTTCACTTTGAGCGCTAGTTGTCGTTTGTATTTCTACCGTATTTTTGGCGCATTCCCCACCACATAGGTATTTTGTTTCTGCGGAGTTGTGCAGCGTGGTGGAAGTGAGGTGTGTATGTTCTGTGTGGTCTGTTCGTAAATAGTGACCAATGAAGAAGTGCCATTGCTAATACAGCAATTAACCCATCATCCATGGGTTCTGCAGCCAAACCGTTACCTGGTGCTGATTTACGACTTCTAGGGAAAAAAACCTCAGTGGAAGACTGTGATGGAACAGAGATTAAGGCAGAACAAACTGCCACAAGAGAGACTCAAGAGATGACCTGAATCTCAGCAGACTATTTGGAAACTAATCCCGTTTTGTGTAGCTCTCGCAGCACATGTGGTATTGTGAACCAGTTAATTTTAAATACTAAAATATTTCAGACTCGGTGGATAAGTTTTTCTCTAACCCTCAGACTGGCTGGGGTTAGGACAGAATTTCGTAATTCAGATAGTTTGTACTTAAACCCATGACTGTATCCACAGACAAAGGGCAGCCGAAGTATCTTCAGTTTGATTGTCAAGCACTTTCCTTTTTGCATATTCATAAACTTTATGGAAGCTTCAAAATGTTATTTCTTTACAAATAACGTGTAAAAAACGTTTCCCATCTCAGGTACATTTGCTGGCATGTTACTTCAGGACTGTTCATCAACGTTGGGCTATTAGCAGTAATTTTCTTTTTGACGAGCGGTGATGCTGAGGGGACTTGCAGACAGTAACCGGATGGGCTTTACAGTTGAGTAGAGAAATGGGGCAGGGAGAGAAGGAGCAGATGCTGGGCTGGGAACTCAAAAAATCCTCATTAAAGTGAGCTTTTTAGAGCACATACCAATTTAATCAAAAAAGAAGATTATTCTTATTTGCATTTGTAATATATAAGCAGCTTATTTTCATTTATTAACTCAATTTTGATAGTCTTTCAAAGCTGTTACTATCCCAGTACCAACTACTGCTAAAATAGATTTCACAGGGAGGAAGTTAAGAGCTTTTGGCAATAGGGCAGTGATGGTGGTGCTTTAAAGTAGTTCATCAAATAGCATTTGCAGGACAGTAAACTTCAATTTCTTCTGTGTAACGGAGACCAGAACTCGGTTCTTTTTTCCTAGTAAGTTAGAAAAAGAGCTATTCCTGATTCCTTTTTCAGTAAATAAGCAAAATGTTCTTCAGCTAATTGTAGAAGCATAGCCCTTTTCTGATGAAGATATCTGTGATATTGCTTGGACTCTTGCTGTTGAATACATATCTTAACTGAATGTGAAAATGTCAGTGATATCTGTTGTGGTAACTGAAAAGGACGGGTTTGTATTCTTTGCTAATTCTATATACAGAATTTCCACTGACACAGGTGAAAATTCTGTACGACAATAAGTACAGGGCATGGAACAAAGAGCTGCAAATCAGGCCAGGAGTATTTTCTCTTAAAATTATATGCTGCACCCGGGTTGCCATGTGAGCATTGGCACGCATGCGGGAGGAACATGGATTCTTGACTGACACAGTTCTGACGTTCCCTGTCAGCATTCGAAAGAGCAGCCTGCCGACCTGCCATGGCAGGCCACGGCAACGCCTCTGTTCCTCAGACCCTGGCTGGTTTGAGCTGCAGGGGATCACTGCAAGGTCCAGCAGCCACAGCCCGTCATGGACAAGGGTGTCCAGCAAAGTTAAGACCAACTTGCAAATTAGAAGCAAGAAGCAGGACAAGCCAAGTTCCCTAAGGGAGTGACTAGCTGGATTGTAAGTGCATCAAAAAGACTCTCCTGCTCATTTTCCTATAATCTAGCCCTTTGCATCTGAATGGGTCAAGAATTTGTTCTGATCAGAACACATACCTACACGGATTAATTCACATTTAACTCATATGAAAACATGTTATTTTTTTCTCGAGAGTTCTTCTATCCTGATGACGCAGTGGTTCAAAGGCCCAGTCTTGCAAGCACTTAATAGCAGCGCTACCTACAAACTGTATTATGTAGTGAGTTTTTGCCAGAGGCAAATCCAAATTTGTAAATACTGTTTGTTATTTTTCCGTTCATTAACCTGCAGAAAGCTTGCCGCATTCACAAGAAAGCTGGGGGAAAGAGACAAACTATTGTATTTGAAATTTTAAAACAAATCAGAGGGTATTTTAAGCTTTTGATTGTATAATAAGTTCATTAAATAAAGATCAGTAGTCATTTTGTCCAGGAGCTCTCATCTTCTTGGAACAAGTCAGTGACTAGAATTTATTGAATGAAGCTAAGCTAGCAGTCACTGATACACATAAATTAACTGATACATAATTACCCTCTGTTTTCATTTGAAGTCCTCCCTGTATTAGAACTGAACTATACCAAAGGACATATTGGGATGTAACTCTCTGAAATGTGATTTTAGTAGATCCGGTAATGCAAATTTTATACTTCATCAAGTTCAGTAGTCTGCACATGCCAGTCCTGTGCAGGAAAACTAGTAGGTTTAAATTGTTTGAAAGTTTGTTTCTTATTTGAAAGTAGGCATGTTAGTAAAATCTGAAGTTTTGAAAAGGGTTGGTGATATTTTAGAATGAGGCACAGGCATTTCATAGTGAAAGTGTTTTCCTTCTTCAGCATAAAAATCTATCTGCCATTTAAGGAGCAAAACAGGTAAGTCCATTAGTTCTTCTGTGTTGCGTATTTCAGCTAACTCCTTTAAAGGTAACTGTTCATAAATGAATCATTTGAAAAGCTCAGTCTTGTGGCTCAATAAAGTCAGGTGTAGGTACTTGGTAACATCCCAAGACAACAAAACTGCACAAAACGCCATCCACTGCCAAGAAGGGTGAAGGCTGAGTATCACAAAAACACAAGACTTTAATATGATTCTCGTAGTAACATGTTTTGACCATATTTCTTTTATGCAGATGCTAGATGAAAATCACCACCTAATACAATGTATTATGGATTATCAGAGCAAGGGGAAAACTGCAGAATGTACTCAGTGAGTATTATGAGTTTGGGAGTATGTTAGAAATTTTTGGTGGACTTTTTCTCAAGAACAGTACTATGAACAGTTTTATTCACTGATCACTGAGAAAATAGTTGGGGCTCTTCCCACTTCCCAGCCATTTTCCCCTTATCAGAAGAAAACTCATGCTAAAAAAGCATTTTCTCTTGCCTTCTTGGAACTCTCCCTGTTTCCAGAAGTTTGACTTTTCACTTTGCTCAGGAGCACAGCTGTTAGTTTGCCTTTGGGTGCCCTCCTGTTCTTTATTATGAGCTTTTCCAGTTCATCAAGAACTGTGAAGAAGCATAAATGGTTCTGCTGGTGCTTACTTGAGTAAACACTCCAGTTAGAGCACTCTTGGAAAAAATCTTGTTCTTCTCAGCTTGCTGGCAGGGTGAACAGGTTTTAGTTTTTGGAGTTCTGGAATTTCATTACTACTAGGACCCTTGTTAAACAGAGGAAGAAAAAGTGGCTAATTGTTAGTGCAGCTGACCGAGTATCAGTACTCAAAGACTGAGGTCCCAGCTTCACAGTCCTCTCAAAGTGCCTTCAAAGCAGAGTGTATTTTACCTCTCCCTTCCCCCAAGTTTACCCGTTTGTAAAAGAGGTGTTGAACACACTGATCCTTGATGAAAAGCATGACAGCACAGATACAGGTCATTACTATTGCTATATTATTATGACAGATGAAAAGTGAGCTAATGTAATTTAACCAATCATTTGTAAATAGCAAAAAAAAAAAAAAAGTTTAAGGCTTGGAATTTTCTGTGTTGTGAACCCTTTCCAAATAAGCTTTACTCCTTATTCTGTAGATACCAACAAATCTTGCACAGAAACCTGGTCTACTTGGCAACAATAGCAGATTCCAACCAGAATATGCAGTCCTTGCTTCCTGCTGTAAGTACCAGTGCTACCATCAGATACATTTACTATGCCAGAGGGAAATGTTCTTGCATTCTGTTACTGATCACTTAATAAACCGTTTTTTAGTATTTTTCCAGCTAAAAGTTTTGAAGTGGTCAAGTAGGCCACCAAACAAATCAAAAGTTACTTTTACTGTGTTTAAAACACCTTCTTTGGGACAGTTGTGTTAACGTCTGTCTCCAGAGCTCAAGTTCTATATACTATAAATGGTGCAGTGGTACAGATCTGAACAGCCTCCATTTGTTCCAGATTCATTATTCTTTACCTATTTTTACTGTATTCTTTACTCAGGAAAAAAAATGCCACTATTTTATGTCAAAAATCTGATTCAGCATTTGGGCATCGGTTTGTCTTTAAACATTGTGTTATTCTTGCTAAATGGATTGATTTTGGAGGTATCGCACATAACACAAAATACAGCATAGCTTTATGCTTGACAAAGGTCAATTTACCAACAGACTTCTGTATCTTCTTTGCTAATGCATATCCCCTCAGCAGTTATGTTCTGACCAGCACAAAATTACATTCATGTACATACGGAAGAATGGGCACAGAAGCCAGACTCTATTATAAGCACAGTTCTAAGATCTTCACTGTGCTGCCTGCCGGCTTCTCTATCATGCTGGATGTCATTCATACATAGTAGTCAAACAAAGAAAGGTTTACGCAAGCAAGCCCAAAAAGTGAAGGAAGCGCATATTTAGTTGAGGCAGTTTTTAGTCATGGTCAGGCTAATTTGGGGGTTATTATTTTTCTAATTAAAAACCTAACCAAAAATTTGCTTCTCCTCCTTGTTATTTGCAGCCACCAACGCAAAACATAAACTTGGGCCCAGGAGGAATGACTCAGAGTGCATCAAACCAATCTCTCCATTCACAGAGCAATCTCAGTGATGCAATTGGGACGGGCCTTCCTCCTTCCTCCCTCATGCAGAGTCAGATTAGCAATGGTGAGCTTCAGTCCCCTTTGTGCTGCTTTGCTGTTGCTTAGCAACAAAATTATTAATGCAGAATATACTTACAGAGCTGTAAAAGACCTCTCCTAACTCACCTTTCAGGCATACGGGGATTTCAGGCACATGCTGAAATCATCACAAAATGGCTACAGTTGGTAATGATGTTGGCTTCTGCAAGTACTCCAGTCTGCTTAGTATTTCTATAGGGGAAATTAAAAACATTTTTTTAAAAATGCGTAATGAAAATCACCAAGTAAAGATGCATCCAAGTTTTTAATAAGAAAAATTATATATTGTGGTATTTTTCTCTTGAAAGTCGTGGGGTTGGCCAGGGTAAAACAGAATTGCTTGCATGACTAACCACGCAACCAAGCCTCTAGATTGCAAAGACCTTCCAGGATACATGCCTTTTTAAAAATAATTTGGTGTTGCATCAGTCTTTGTCCTCTACAGAAGCTTGCAGAGATTGTACTACATAGCCAAAGAGTTTGCACAGACATTTCATAGGAGTAAGATAATATACTTTGTCTATTTGTTTTAGTTCATGCAACTAGAAGAAACTAATTGAAAGACAAAAAATAATTTTTTTTGCTCTGTGCATTTTATAGTATGAGTAATCTGTTTATTTATTTCGTAGTTCATAGTTATTTAGTCAGTTCTTGTTTCTGTGGGTCTTTCCCAGAGTGACAGAGAGAGAAAACGGTTTTTACAAATAGAAATATCTGATTGTAAAATCACAGACCTTGGCAGGGGGACTCAAGAGCAGATGCAAGCCGTAAGATTACTTCTGACTTCTTAAAAATCCATTTGTGGTCAAGCTGATAGTACCTTTTAAACTAATGGAAGAGGTAACTTTAAACAGTTAACAGCTTGTAAAGTGAACTTATTAAATTTATCTGGGCCTTCTTTTTGAAAGATTTATTATCTAGTATAAGTATTATAAGTCAGTCATAACATTGTTTTGTGTTACTAAGAATCTACATTTTCAGTGTTATTGTTGCTGGGTTTTCTTATTTGCCCCCCACCCTCCAGTTCTTTATAGTAATTTAGTGCTGACTGAAAGAACCAGACTGGCAGTCCTGAAGACTTGAGTCATCTGCAGAACAGAAGCAGCCAGGGCAGTTTACCTCATGTTGCCCCAACCCAGTAGTAAAACCCAGCCTGAGTTGTAGGGGTCTCAGGGTAGTTCACTCTCTGCTCAGTCACTGTGACTCTTGTCACCTGGGTAGTGCTAGGTATTTCATCAAGAAAATATCAGTCCACTGGAAACCAGACTGAGGACATAGCTGCACTTCAAAAGGAAGGTGTGACTGAAAATGCAGTAGCTTGCCTCTTCCGAGTAGCCTAGGTAGCAGCAGCAGTGATGGCGTGTGCTCTGCTGCTCGTGCCTGCTGTGAGAATAGGGCCCTCACACCCTTGGGCTTGGGGACGCTCCCCTTGCTTGCCAGTCTCTACTGCTACCGTCTCTGGGCCAGCTAGAATCAAGTTAGCACAAGAGTGCCGTATGACACAGCATTCTTGACGTGTTTTTAGACTTTGAGACTGAGAAATTATTTCACGTTCATCAACAATTGTTGGACAGCATTTTTTGGAAATTAGGAATAAATGTGCAGAAACAATTCAAATATATGGGCTCTAGTACTTGTCAAAATGTCTCATCTAATGGCAATAGAGATGAAAGTCTGTAATGAACAGGTACAGCATTGTAAGAGAGGGAAGAAAAGGGAAGAAGCCATAGAAGCTACTACATTTTATTCTTTATTGTCCTCAGTCAGGATTTCATAGGAATCACCTCTGCAGGACAGTAGCTAGGTAATTCCCTACATACATGGTAACTCTGCCTAGTGGTAGCGAGGTCAATTCTAGTAATTCTGTTGATGGGGACAAGCTTAAAACCAACCCACTGAGATTTCAAGTAATCCACCATCCACAAGTCAGTGATTCTTCATGCCACAGCCCTGCAGGCAAACCCATTAGATTCAATAAACCAACCACTGAAACTCAGCTGCTTCCAGACAGAATCAGGCCCAAATGAGAATTTTAACTGTACAGGAATCCTGAATGAGGCCTTTCAAAGAAATACTCAACTGCCTTAGATTCATGAAAGTATGAAAGAAGTTCAGTGCTTTGTATTTATCCTGTTGTTTTAGTGTTTTTATTTAAACACTTTCGGTCATGCTTTCATATTTTCCCTTACAATCACAAATTAGCCAAACCTTTTTTTTTTTTTTTTTTGTTTTAAAGAAGCCAAGATTCTCTAAGTTTTCCCATGCAAATAGGGCAAGGTTTACCAGCACTTGCTTCACTACATCTCTCACTCGAAGCAACTACTAGCTCCATCCAAACACCGTGTGGCCTTGTGTTGCACAAGCAGAAGTATCAGCTTTGCAAGACATACAAAAACTGGAGCAAAACACAGGGCTAGATCTCTGTAGTGGTATATTGACCTGGGTCCACTGGTTTCTGTAGAGCTGGCTCTCTCTATCTCTTGTTGAAAATGCTGCTTGCATCTCTCCATCAAAGGAAAATGTAATAATCTACAGCAAAATTTCTCATTTTGATGTTTATAAAAACCATTAAGAGTAATTAATGAGGTTTGTACTAAGATAATTAGACACATTTTTCAGAGGCTGTAGATACACTTAATAACTGTGAATTAAAATACCGTTATCTAAACATTACAACATAATTCTGTCTCTTCTAGGGATTCTGCATGTCTTCCATTCTACCTAAATTAATTTAGATTGACAGCAATACAGCTGAATTTAGATAGACAACAATACACACTGTCATAATTTAGATAGTAACAGTACATAATGAAAACAACTTTCCAAAACTTATTCATAAAAGTATTTACAGCAACAAGCAACAAAAAATAACCAGATCGTCTCCAACTTTAGTTACCCAACAGCAACTGAATTTTAAAAAATAAGCATACTGCCAGGTAAGCAGGATGATCCAAACCTAGGATATAATTGGAGCAGTCTGATGACTGCTGATGTTGGAAAGGGAGTACCGTAACAACAGGGATGATGATGGTGACTTGGAAAATTTATCTTCCGAAAGTCTGAGGTACCTCCAGTCAAACTTCAGGAAAGGGAGAGACAAGCTTGTCCTCTGAGGAGGGGGTCCCTTGGTACTTCCTAGGCCCCATCTAAGAAGGTTAGTTGGTTATAGAGGAACCAAATGGATGCAGCAATGTGCAAAGTGTTTCTCAGCCACTGCTGTGCCTTCCCATTCTCACCATCTGTGTGAAGGGGGAAAAGGAGTCAACAGCAGGACAGGAGGAAGGAAAGGACAAATTTCAGAAGGCTGGGATGCTTCCAGAGTCCATGTATTTTCTGAAGTATCTGAAATGACTGGCATTTGTTAATTCTGCTGCCTGCGAGGAACTGGTTGTAGGGCATTGCTGCTGGTTTTGTTTTTCCTGTCTGCAATTCTGTACAGCCTGGACTTGGCTGCTAGGAAAAGGAGAATCACTCTAACTGTGCAGTAGGCAGTTTCAATTTGTCTGTAGATAACAGGGAATTTTAATAATGAGGATTTTTTTGTTTTGTTTTGCCTTATCATAAGGTATTTCAGAAAGGCCGTGAGGGCTTTAATGCTCACTGTACGTTGCCAATAATAGCACAGATTTTCTTGTTGCTCTCTTTAATTTTTCTAGGTCCTAATCACGTGTCTATGCAGCAGTCAGGCCAGAACACTATGCCCACGACCTCTCTGAGTATGACTGTCAGCAGTCATGGAACTGGGCCTGGTTATAGCCATACAGTGCCTGCATCTCAGAATGTGCCAATGCAAGGCCAGGGGTCAATAGGCAATTATGTCTCTCGAACAAACATCAACATGCAGTCTAATCCAGGTAAACTCCCTCTTCCTCCTTCTGGGCCAACTTGACTTTTCAGTGACCTCAGAGGTTTACCACACATGAATTTGTTCTGTAAATATTTTCTGTAGACAGGAACAAACATACAAGAGGAAAAGACAGCTTTAAGACATCTCTGAATTTCAAGGTGTCAGGCACCAGTGTAAAAGTCAGAACAGTTTCAGACTTGTTTTAACTTAATGCCAACTTGCTATGGTTAGCAATGAGTTGGGGAAAAGAGGGTTAGCTAGAAGTGCAACAGCACTATCTGATAGCCCCTGGCAGCAAATCCCACAACTGTGGGAGAGATCTGAGAAGCATGTTTATCCTAGCTGAAAGAGCCTGCCAAAGCGTATTACACATTTACTGTTTGTACATTACTACCCCATTTTTGTTATTTTATTGATACTTCGCACTGCTTGCAGGGCGTAGAGAGACGAGCAGACAACTCAGAATTAACCTCTTAATTTGTAAAAATGTTTGCTACTCAGTATTGAATGCAATGTCTAATGCTCAAGAATTCTTTCCAACAGTATGAAATTTAGGGATCAAATAAATCCTAGAATGTCAGTTTATTTAAACTGTATAATCATCAGGTATATAGTAAGATGGAAGTAGAAAAAAGAGTTGATTAGAAAAGAAATGCAGCAATGAATTAGTCAGGAGGTAGAGAGGAACAAGCATCAGTTCTTCTTTCTTTCTTTAATCCTACTGTAATAATGATTACATTCTTTTAAATAAACTAATAATAATCAAGGCTAGATGTATTTTTAAATATCTGACTGAAGCAAATGGCAAGAACTGACCACGTAGTAACATCCTTTCTGGATTACAGTGCAGAAGAGTTAAATACATGCAGTAGGAAAACATCTCCCCCTGTGGAAAGTTCACAGAATTATCAGGATGCATGTTAGTTGAAGGTTTTAACTTGCTTCCAAAGAGACTAGGGAGAGAACTGTCACATCCTTTTAGAAAACAGTATTTTCCGTGTACATTGTAGTCTCCATGATGCACCAGCAAGCAGCAACGTCACATTACAACTCTGCGCAAGGAGGGAGCCAGCATTACCAGGGGCAGTCCTCCATTGCCATGATGAGTCAGAGCAACCAAGGCAACAGCATGATGGGTCAGCGACCAATGGGCCCTTACAGGGCTTCACAGCAAGGTAAAATCTATTATTATGGCTATAATTTTTATTAGATTGATGATATTCAGTCCGTCCTGTGGGGTAGGTAAGTCAACAAAATTTGCAAGTCACATTTATGAACAGGGAATCCTGTCTGGGAACACAGGAAATCTCAAATGGTGGAAGTATCATGACAATCAGATAAACTTTAATTTATTTTCAAGATTTATCTATTTAATTATTTCAGGTGTTTAGAAAAATAATTCTGTCTAAAAGGGGTCATGTATCTCTAAAGAAAAGATGAACAATCTGATATACAGCTCACTCAAGCCACTGAGAATCTTTTCAATTCTTTCAAATGGTATTAGATCAGCCGTAACATGGCACAGTTAACAAGGAACACACTTCTGCAAAGAGGATATAGTTTGCCGGCAATTAGTATGAAAAATTAGGCCAATGAAAGAGAAACACCAGAGGATGACTACTATGCTCTAAGACCTCACTGGAAAAAGTTCTAAGAGGTAATAAAGCTGCTAGACTGATTCTAACATAAACTGAATTTTGCTGAGAAACAAATTAATACATTAATAAAGATATATTTAATTCTGACTGTGTTCTTGAGCATGGAGTACATTCCTGTGCTTTCTCAGATTAGTAGACGAAATGTAGCCGTTACTTTCGGTATTGCCACAGAAGTGAGTGGTTCTAGAACATGTTACTGACTGTTGTGTAATTTCAATTTCAGCCAGCTTTTTCTGAGAATACAAATTTACTTCCTTTTTCCAGTGAGCAAAACATCTTTGAAACTGCTCTCAACATACATAGCTTCTTTACTTATCCAGATGTAAACACTGATTTCTTAAAAAAAAAAAAGTAAGAAAAAACATCCCTTAGGAGTCCATGAGCTCAGTTTGCTCTCTCTTGTCTTTGCCTTGCAGGTTCCTCACAGCAGTACATGGGTCAGGAAGAATACTACAGTGAACAGTACAGTCATGGACAAGGCTCATCAGAACCTATGAATCAGCAATACTATCCAGATGGTAATTCCTCTGAGCTGTAGTCCCTGTAATACTGATAAAGTGTAGACCACCATTACTGCCACATCCAAGGACATGGCAAACTCATTACGATTCATTTCCAATGTAAATGCTAGAAAATTCTGATCCCAGGACATGGGAGCCTAGTACAGAAACATATGCATCAGTGCACCCTGCTATCCAAACTGCTTCAAAAAGAGCACGAAGCCCAGTTTGGATTAGTAAATGCAAGAGATTTATCCATAGGCGTGAGTTTCCTTGCAATGTATTTGACCTCCTACCTAAGGGGTCTGTATTTCCTCTTAGCCTCATCTCTGAGCATAAGCAGCTTCATAATATATCATTCAACAATACATCTAGAGTTACTTTAACAATGTATCTGATAAACCTTTGCAATTCCTTGTAGGACATGGTGATTACGCCTATCAGCAGTCATCCTATACTGAGCAGAGCTATGACAGGTCGTTTGACGACTCTACACAACACTATTATGAAGGAGGTAGGAAAATACTGGCAATCTTTGTAAACCAAAGCCTTAATCCCCTAAAATACTAATGAATTGCTTTATGAAAATGTAAAATATGACTTGTGATTTCTGCATCACTAACTGCTACTTAGCTATTTACTAAGGAGTGTCCAGGAAATAGAATTTAGCTATGTGTAGCATTTTTTATACCACGACTATATCAGACTGTATACAGTATCATGTCAGTAAGTGTATTGTGAGGCAGTCATGCTGTGCAGCCTTGTGGGATCACTAACAACTTGGGCATGGCCACATACTCATTTGAAAAATGATCCTCAGTTGTAGCTGAGCCAGGTGGAATTATAGCTATGGATATTGAACTTTTTTTTCAGTAAGAGAAGAGACTTCCAGGATATCAGTATCCTCCACTCTTACAAAACTGTTTAACAAATGTTTTCTGTAATGCAAATAAAAATGGCTGTATTAAAGTAAAAGGTTATGCTGACAAAGGTAAACTAACATGCTGCAGTTAGAAACAGAGTTCAGAGCTGGAAAAAACTGGCAGCCATAAATGGAAATTTCTCTAAAGTAAGAAAACCTACTGGTTAATTCCAGGACCAACTTTTTTTAATCTTACTTAATTCACCTTACAAATTGTGAAAAACAATGGGTTAAATGAAACTAATCTTTGAAAATCATCAATACTATGAGTTTACAATTCTACCACTAAAAAACTCTCAACAGTAGTAGGTCAGTAAATTCAGTAATTCTGTTATCTGAACTCTAAATTAACTGCAAAATACTAACTTAATTATGATACAGCAAGGTGGCATTTAGGAAAAGCAATGTTGTCTGTATAGTCTCTGTTCATTTTGTTGTTTCAGGATACTGCAAATGGAATTTCCGTCATAGGTATTTCAAAAAATACCCGTAACAATTAGATAAGTGGTCTTTCTGGGGTATATGAATAAACATGATTATCTAGAAGAAAATACAGTGGCAGGGCTTCTTGAGAAACAGGCTATTTACCCTGGCACCCTTATCTTTGTGACTGTGTTTTTCTTTTGAAACACTTCTGGGGTAAAAAAAGTGCTTTGGGGAACAAAGCTTGTTTCTTTGTTTGTTCAGTGATGTGTATAAATAAACAACTCTCTCCTGTTCAAAAGAACTAAAAATCACTGAAGAAATAAACATTCTGATTGGCAAAATGCAATTATCTGTTTCTGGAAAGAGTACTTGTCTATAAGTTCCAGACTAGGGCTCCTTACACCTTTGTTTTCCTTATGATTTGCACGTACAGTGAAATACCTGCCTCATCTATAACCAAACTATTTCAATGTTTCCCTCTTTAGGAAATTCTCAGTACAGCCAGCAGCAGGCAGGATACCAACAGGGAGCTGCACAACAGCAAACGTATTCCCAGCAGCAATACCCAAATCAACAAAGTTACCCAGGACAACAGCAAGGATATGGTAAGAAAAGTGTCACTGACTGGTCAAGTGTTTGCAATATTTCATCTTGACACCTCCAGTCCTAAGCTAAAATATGCTGTAAACTATTTCCTTCATTAACCTTAGACATCCATATACCAAAACAAGCCAGAGAGCACAGCATGTAGAGAGATCCTGAGCAGTAACATACGTTAGTACAGCACTGCATTCCATATTGTTATATTAGCATCCTGAATCCTCCTCTCCTTTGAAAGAAAGTTAGAAAGTTAGAAAATACACTTTTGCCTCATGTTGACTTCTGGTAAGCGTTGGCAGGAGGTCACTGCCTAGATTCTCAGGCCTCCTACACATCTAATAGTTCTGCAACTGACACGAAAAAAATAACAACAGTCCAGAAAATTACTACTCCCTCACTTAGATTTCTTGAAACATCATAGGGGGTTTATTCCTTGGTGAGGGACTGAGGCGAAAGGAAAAAAGTGGAAGTGCTTTGAACACGCAGCTAACACTGGCACAGGGCTTTTGAACCCTTCAGGTCACCAGGGGCAGAGTTCCCCAGCATCATCAAAAGAATCCGAGTTTGATGTCTGTCTTTGAGTTTTCTGACCAATTGGAGGCATCTTGTATGTATACTCAGTCTTTGGGAGAAAGAAACCATTTCAGATTATTTACTACAAAAACAGGGTCCAGAGAGATTGGAATAATCTAAATCCTAGCTTCAAGGCAAGGGATTTTTGGTACATCTCCCAAATGTGATGGTACTTGACCTTGAAATGGCAATGTTAACCAAACTTGATAAATTGATGTTGATATAAACAGCAAACCCATTTTAGAAATGTAACATCTCATGAAACAGATCCTACCTGCCTAAAAAGTTAATTAAATTATTAACACGTGACTCTGCAGTACTCATAGATAGTTTGGACTACTCAAACCAGACATATTCTGTGAAATTAAACCCAAGATTCAGTTTATGATGTTAAAATCTTGCCTCCTCTTTTTAAACATTCTCCTTCATAAAAATCAACCAATAATGCTAAAAGTGCACATAGCAGTCTATACACAGAATATACAGTCCCAAATAAAAGGAAATCAATATCCCCATGCAGTTGTGTGTCTAATTTACATGTTTTTATCATCTCTATATGCAAGAGATTTCTTAGGTTCTGCCTGGTTAGCAGTGCTTATGGTGACACGGCCAGATTACATAGGAAGTTAAATGTGAAATCGTTACAAAATAAAGGCCAGATAGCTTGCATATTAGTAATAATTGAGCTGTGCCAATACAGATTTCAGACAGGCAGATCACTTAATGGCATATCACATTTTCTGAGCGAAGTTTAAAACCCAAAGCTTACACTGCTGCAACTAGATCATTATTAGTATAATATAGTATTAACACTTTCTAGTGTAAAACTAGACGGGAGGTCTACACAAAATTTACTCACGGGTCATAGTCGCAGAGCTTCCTTTGTTACCATCATATTTTACATTATGTTAACCATAAGAATTCCCCCTAGCAAATCAAGCCTTAGTAATAGATTTCACTGTCATCTCAGGTCCTGCACAAGGAGCCTCTTCACAGTATTCCAGCTACCAACAGGGACAGGGGCAGCAATATGGAAGTTACAGAGCTTCGCAGACAGGCCCGTCCGCTCAGCAACAGAGGCCTTACGGCTATGAGCAGGTAAATTGTCTAAATCTTTGCTATGAAAAAGCAGATTTAGCTGTTAGCTCTGCATATAAATCTATCTGATAATTTGGTGCAGGCATACTGGTGATACTTCAGTGGGTCTTTCAAAATTCATGGACCAAAAGAAATTGTCTAACTCACTGTTTGTAAACCTCTGATATATTATTCTCCAACATTTTTATTTCTCTTTTTTATAGGGACAATATGGAAATTACCAGCAATAAAAGAATATGATGTTGTGTCAGATTCATTTCAATAGTATCTCCATCTTTTGAACTGGATGTACAGGCAGTTTTGATTAATTGTAATATGTTGGTTACCCCTTAGCACAAAGCAGCGTCTCTATGTGAACAGTGTTCATTTCATGCTGGATATGAAGCAGTGCACTACTGGTAACAAGACAATGCTTTAATGGTTTGATATTTGGTGCTGTGTATAGTACTGTATGTTGATACAATGCAGAAGTTTTTCATTTATCCCCCTCCTTGCCCCATTCTTGATGTTTCTAAATAGCTTTAGGATCATTTGATCACAGTTGTGCCCCGTTCTGGAAAACAGCCAGGTTATTCTGCAGTCTGGCTCAATACAAAGCCATTCAGTCATATCTCAGTCCAGGGAAGTATCCTGTGGTAGGTTATTGATCTTTAACTGAATGCATTGAAGATTACCTGCCAGCCTCTGAAATCCACAGCTCTTAACTTTTACTTCTTAAGAGTAAGGGGTTGGATACATTCCTTATGTGAAGACAGTTCTATGCTATATGATAAAACCAAAATTAACTACAACTTCTGTAAGACCTACCTACCCAAGTCTTATAATTCAGTAATCTGCGTAACTCCACATTTCTGTTGCAAAAGGTACAGAAAGAAGATCAAAACCTATATTCAAGGAAATGTTAATCACTAGAGGCACCTTTTATATATCCCTGTAAACTAAGGTATTTCTATCGAGGAAAGAAAAATAGAAGGGAGCTCTGAGATCTAGTAAGTGTCAGCTTACTAGACGTCAATATTGCTTCATATTGTGGTTAGCTAAGAAAACCATCTGGCAAAACTCCAGTCTGCTACTCCAAATTTTGTAACTGGCATATACATTTTCATGCCAAATTTCACAAGCAGGTGGCTGGCATCCTCCTTTATTTCTGATTCTTCCGTTGCCCTTGCTCAGATTTTCCAGAAAGCATTATAACCATAAATATTGTCAAATTTTCTGGTCTATTGTTCTTACAGCTCATTGTCATTTTTATTTTTCTCTTGTAGCTTGACAGAAATAGTTCAGAAGTAAAAGAAAAAAAAATCCATCTTTATTGCAGAGAAGCCACCAAATTCAGCTTTAATTGTGAAACAATATTATGCATCTACAAAGGGGAACTATTAGTGGGGTCAACCAGTGAGAGAATACCTATAGAGGGGGAATTTAGAAATAAAGACTAGCAGTATGTAAAAGCCAGTATGAACAATGTAAGTCACTTCTATTCAGTTTTATATGTTCTTATAAAGTGTTGAAAAAAAGCACTTTTAAAGTGCTTATATAAGTACTGAACAAAATAACATGTTCAAACTACTCTGAGGCAAAAGGCTAGGATGACTATACTCCATGAACATTTTTTAGTATGAGATTAACTGCAAATTTACAGTATATAGTAAATACATCCTCTCTAGGATTTTCTCCTTTTCTTTGTCTGAACCGGTGTATTTATGGGATTTCGAATTCTAGTACTTTATATTTTGAAAAACCAAGACCACAAGGAAAATAAAAGATTTCTCAATTTATTACTTTTTTTCCTGTAGAGGAAAGTCTAACTGGACAACTAAAGAGTTTACTATTAAATGTTGTCCAAGCACTGCCCTTGCTACATTAATAATTTTAATTATTGATAAAATGGAAGACATTTTTTTAGTCAGTCCTCATTTCTCTCATCTTTCCTGCTGGTGTTTTCATACAAATAAGTACTCTCAAATAGCAAGGAACAGAAAGGAAGTAAGATTGTTTTCTTTACAATATATTAATATTACAGGTAGCCAGAAGAATGCAATATTGCTCTTTGCCAGCTTGGAAATATGCCTTTTATGTGGTTTTTGAAAGTGCTGAAATACTCCTGAGAGAACGTGAACAACACTTAAAATGAAACAGCAACATTACATCAATCTGAAATGTCTTACATTAAGAATTCTTGAATGTTGTGTATATAATGTATTTGAAAGAGCACTTTGGAAATAGTTTGTACATTTATTTCCTAATTTATACATGATTTTTGGTGTTAATATTTCTAATTGTTAATAACAAAATGTTTATTTAACGTGTTGTCCATTTTTATGTATTAATGTGGAAACAAAGTGATGCCAGCATTTTGACTTCTTCCATTAATTGTATCACTTTCTGTTTTGTAATACAGAATGCTTGAAAATTGTTTAGGTTAAATATTACCTGAAATTGAAGTTGGTGGTACTTTTCTTGTGACACAGACTTTTGAAGGGAAACGACAGATAAAGGGAGATTCTTTTGAGTTGTACCTTCTCCCCTACTTCTCTGATGCACTTCATAGATAATTATATATGACACAAGCTTGTCCTAGCTTTCAAATTGTTTGCTATGCAAAGATGAAAGGCTGCGTGTGCCGGGTGGATGCACGTAGTGAAGAGCTCACCTGTCAGACAGGGCGGCGTAGGGGACAGGTGGCACGCTGACTGATGGCGCAGGAGGACTCCTCAAGGGGCCGAGACACCCGCAGCTCAGTCAGCGAGCC